ACAAGGGCCTAGAGCCGATGGGACCCAGAATGGTCTGATTCCTGGTTCTGACTTCACTGCAAGGGACATGAGGAGCCAAGAATGAAAGCAATGACATATATACCATACAGGTATGCCTTCCACATAAACTAGATTTGTCCAAAAAACATATAAACAACCTGCCACCTAGGACACCCCTTTCCCTCAAACAAAACCTCCATTAACTAGGGTGTAAGAGTCTCGATTACACCAAAGAGGAAGAGCTCTTAAAGGATAGCCTCACTAGGCAGGCCAGACATGGATGTGATGTCACCACCACCAAGGGCATCAGGGAGAATGACATCTGCCAGAAAATGAGACTGCCATTGACCATTGTTTTAATTTAGAGCAAGATAAAGTCACTAAACCCAGGCCACGCCCTTGGGGAACTATTTTAATAGCCATTGCTGTCGAAATGCCGGGCCTGCCCAGAGCGGAGAGGAAACCTCCCGAGCGGCTGGGTTTGAAAGAGAGCAAGACTTAAAGCAGAGCTGTGACCTCAGGGAATGTTTTCCACCTCCTCTAAGGAATGCTGGCCACCCCTGCACTCCCTCCCCACCCTCCCGGATGGCGGGACGGAGAGGCAGTCAGAGAAGAGCTGGCATCTGGCTTCAAATTCCAGTTTGGCCTCTTACTAGCTGTGCGGGTGTGGGCAAGTTATTTATCCACTCTGTACCTCAGTTGTCTTGTCTAGGAAGCAGGCATAATATGGCCCTGGCATTTTCGTGTTATATTAAGCATAGACAACGTGTAGGGAACCTTTAGCTCCATACTTGATCTGAGGTTGACAGCTCAGTTAGGAGAGTGATTTGTTGTTTGTGCTCCTTGAAAGGGGCTTTTTTGCACAGACCCTGCCTCTCTGGGTCCAGGCAGATGGTTTAGCAACAGACAGCAGTGCCAGGAGGCTTCTTTGCCTCCAGTGAGTCCACTGGACCCAAAGTCATCACTACTGCCTCTTGATGCGTCTCTCCACAGAAAGGTGAAGATGACCCCATCTTTGATCTAGTTTAAGTCACAATACAAAGCTTGTTGTCTCCATTTTCCTAGTGTTGTTTCCTCCTAATTCAGACCCGACCATCATCTTTTCCTTTTAAAATTCTGTCGGGTCATCCCATTCTAGAAGTTTTCCATGTGCCCTTACAATTCAGTCATTTAAGCAGTGGTGGTGATAAGGGAAATGCTTACAGGTGTGTGTGAGTGTGTGCATGTATGAAAGTGTGAGTGTGCGAGAGTGAGTGCTCATGTGCGTCTGAGAGTGTGTGTGTGTGTGTGTGTGCACTTGTGTGACATGGGCAGTTTTGTGGGTTAGACTTTTCATTGTCATCTTACCAAAAAGATATGAAGCTGATTTCTACTTTTGGGGCGTACTTTTCTGAGGCCTTTACCCTGAATTCTCTGTGGATGTCATTATGCATGCCATAAAAAATAAATATGTCCTCTAAAATGTCCCGTATTTTGGAAATGCTTCAACACTGAGAGTTCATCGTACACACAAGGGTCTCAGATGGAGAAATAGGCAGCTTCATGGAAGCCTCTAGGAGGTCATTGCGTCTGGTCACTCCATACGCGGGGAGACTGAGGCCCTGAGGCGAAGGAGTCCCATCCAATGTAACCTGGAGGTGGAGGGCAAGCCAGGCGTCTTTTCTCTGTAGCACAATTGAGTGGGACTGGCCCTTAGAATGACCTACAAAGAGACCAAAGCAGGTGGATATCGGCCACTCTTCCTCTGGGGTGATCTAATGCACGTGAACTCCACCATCACTGCCCAGAAAAACCCACTCCCCAGTTTAAAGCTCCTGAGTGCTGAACATAGCCTGCGGACCCAGCCACTCATCCAGCCTGTGTTCCTGCACCCCCCGGATTCTGGGTACCGGGGACCCTGAGATGCACAGGCACAGGCGGCCCCAACCAGGCTCAGCACTCTGCCCCCTGCTGGCCGCTGGCCGACCTTGCAGGTTGTGTTGTCCCCTGCAGACCTGGGCACTGGGGCCAGGCAGTCTTCTCTGGTTGTGGCTGCAGGTGGGAGGGGTTCGGCATCCAAGGGAGAGATTGCCTAAGGTTCAGGGAGCCAGAGAGGGAGCCAGGAGGTTTCGCTAGGATGCGGGCTGGAATTTGGCGGGTTCAGGAGGTCTGGGGAGTTGGGAAAGCATTGTCATGACCTGCCCTCACTGGGGGAATATACTTGGGTCACACACTTAAAATGGTGAGGAATTCCAACAGCTGGTGAAATAAAAATGTGTACTGGCAAGTTAAAAGTCGGTGTCTTTCTCTGAGTTGAAGGAATCCTCTTCTTCCATTTCCTTTCTCCCTTCTGATAAAATGTATTTTTCTCATGATAGGCAATTTTGGGGGAAAAAACGGGAAAGTGGGGAAAAATCTGCACCCAGGGATGTTGCTAATGGGGAAGGCTATGTGTTTGGGGCAGGGGTATAGATGGGGACATCTCTGAACCTTCTGCTCAACTTTGCTGTGTATCTAAAACTGCTCTAAAAATAAAGTTTATTGATAAAAAACAAGCAAAAACTCCACCCATAGTCCTGTATGCCATTTCAATGCAATTCATTTATAGTTTTTACTTCCTTTTTTCTTATAGTTATGATCTGGATAATTTCATAATGTTTTTTGTCATGAAACTTTATAATAAAAGCATGATCATGTTACTACGAATTCTTCTGAAACACATTTTTTTTTTTCTTTTTTGAGATGGAGTCTCACTCTGTTGCCCAGGCTAGAGTACAGTGGTGCGATCTTGGCTCACTGCAACCTCTGCCTCCCTGATTCAAGCGATTCTCCTGCCTCAGCCTCCCAAGTAGCTGGGACTAGAAGGGCACACCAACATACCCAGCTAGTTTTTGTATTTTTAATAGAGACGGGGTTTCACCATATTGATCAGGCTGGTCTTGAACTCCTGACCTCGTGATCCGCCTGTCTCAACCTCCCAAAGTGCTGGGATTACAGGAGTGAGCCACCGCGTCCAGCCAACACTATTTTTTAATGGCTTAGTATTCATGTGATGGGGTTTTGATGTTAAGTGGCTCTTTACAAAATGCCACGATGAAGATGTTTATAGGTAAACTTATTTAGACTTATTACCTTCAGATATGTTTGCAGACATGTAATTACTGGGTCAAAGAGACACGCATTATTAAGCTCTCTATGCATACATATTGCAAAATCGCTTTCCACTACCACCACCAGCAATGAGTAAGCCTTCCTGTTTGAGCACATCTTTGGCAGCATTAGGTGTTTTCCTTTTACCAGTCCTTGCTAGTACGGAGCCGCAGGTCCACAGAGACACCCCTGGTGATGTCAGAGGCCAGATGCAGTGTGCTGAGTAGGGTTTCCGGTTAGCACATGGCACATAGATTGGGGGAAGTGGTCTTTTAGTCACCACCAGGGCACGGCACCCTTCCTGGGTTCCTGATTACTGACAGGGAGACCAAATGGAACAAGCCTGGGTGGACACAGACCCTGAGCTTCTCTTAGAAGGCAGCACAGGGTGCCCTGTGGCATTGATGTGTAATGCAGCGTGCTGCTTAGGGCGTAGTCCTAGGTTTGAATCCCTTCTCTGCTACGCTCCTGGCCATATGATTGTGGGAAGAGATCATCTCCTGAGTCTCTGTTTTTTTAATATACTGTGAGGCTAAAAAGCTCCCAAGCAGAGCTATTTGGGGAAATGAATGGGTGACATTCCCACAGGAGCACTGCAAGTCAGGCTAGCTCTTTTCTTGGCTTTGTTTCCAAGTCCCCCAGAAGCCAGGTCACAGCCTACACGCAGATGCTGGACCTAAGAAGTACTGGGTGGCCTGGCCTCACCTGCTTGTGCCAGGTTCTGAAGTCTCTATGTGCTGGGAGCTCTGTAGCAAGTAGGAGTTGCCATGGTGGGGGGTGGGGGACAACTGTGTCTTCCTTTCCAACTCTGACAGTGCCTCGAATCTGGGAGAGTGTCAGGTAGTAAACCTGCCGTCATTCTTCCTCCTCATCTTTGGGATGAGATCGTGAGATGCAGGCTGGTAATTGCTCAGGAAAATAAAGCCTCCTTTTTAATCAGGTGCCAAAAGTGCTTTCAGCAGCCTCGTGCAGGGCTGCTGACAGGAGTAGTCTCAGGCCAATTTTGTAACACTTCAAACAGCAGAGGTAAGATCGCTTCTGGAAATTTAGTGCCCCCTGCCTTGATTTGCTTGAACCACTTAGCACAAGTCAACCCCAGAGATGGGAAACACTGATGCATCTGTAACTCAAATATTGCTAGAGTCCCCACTGAGAACTTAGGCAAACCACCTTCTTGGAGTGTTGCTTTCAGTTTCTTCATCTGTAGAATGGGGATAAATCGACAAAAAAAGGATGGAGGGAAGAGGAGAAAAAGTCATAGCGTTTATTGTGCTGCATGTTTCTCCTGTTCTATTTCATTCGATTTTTCCAAAAATTCTAAGAGGCAGGAGGAATCATTATCTAGGATTTGAGTCCATCCTGCTGAATAGCCCAAGTTCGCTTCCCAAAAAACAACTCTGTGAATGCCAATGCACACAAACTACCTGGTAATGCTGTAATTACTCAGGGATGCTGAAGGAAAACTGGCTTTGCCACCCACAGCCGATGTGTTTATTAATCCCCTTGTGCTCAAATTCCTCTGGCTGCAAGCAAAGCTGATTGATTTTAGCTTCTGCCTCTTAACAAGGTTGCTGTGCTGCCTATTTCTCTCAGGTCAAAAGCACTAAGCAAATTACAAAACTTCCCTAACACTGGAAGCAAAAATGTGTTCAGAAAATGGAAACTTGCCCGGAGCAGCCAACTGAGGCTGCACAGCTGGGGCGGCATGGAGGTGAGGGCAGTGACTCTCTACCACCTCCCTCCTGCTCCCTAGTGCTATGGTTCTGCTGCTCATAGATAGCATCTTAGGTCAAGCAAATGGCTAAATATAGCCAGGCTCCCAGCTAGGCTGTCGTCAAGGCTGTCAGCAGCACTGTCCCAGGTTTTCAGACTTAGTTTCAGGCTTCAGCTTGACAGCCAAGCTCAGTTATGGGGTGGGGCTTTTGTTTTCAAGAGGAATCTCACCTCCCCTCCACTCCAATTTTAGGCTAAACGACAGATCCACAAAGCGCCTGGAAGGCAGATGGGGAGTGGAGAGAGGATGGAGAGAGTGTTGGTCCCCAAGATCCACGTGTGACTGAGTCTTGAAGATCAAAGTCTCTGACTCCCATGCCCCATGGGCCTCAGGGCAACACTGCTGCCCACTGGGAGCTGCTGGGCACATCAGCAGAGCCCCCATTGTCATTGTCTTACCACCAGCAGCTTGGGATCTTGGGCAGCCGCTGAAACTCTTTGGGCCACCAGTGACCTCATCTGCAGGAAGGAGTAGCGGTAGCTTCACACTGGCTGTTATAGTGCATAAAGGGAAGTGAGGCCAAGTCCACTGTGGCTGAACCGAAGAGCCTCACACTGGTGGAATTCATGTATACTGAGTCTGCCACAAGGTATGTGCTTTATGATCAGCCCTGCCACACAGAGATCCATTTCAGTGTAGCCAAAATGTTCTGAGATCTCTACGTGCTCAGAGCTCAAAGCTCAGAAAAATGGTGAGCTTGCGGTGCACAGCCCATGTAAATGGGACTGAAAGCACGTTTGATAGTATCACAGTCTCCCCTCTCCCCATCTGCCTCCTCTCCAAAGCGATGATCAGTTGTGGTGTTCCCTGGTTTATTGGTTGAGAATTCTCAAGGAAGAAACCAGTTGAGGCAGAGACGCACAGCTGGGTCTGGGCAGGGCTGAGGGGGTGGGTCTTAGTGGGGGCATTCCCTGGTAGAGAGGTTGGGAGATCCAGGGCTACTGTACTTTACTGCTCCATCTAAAACTCCAGGAGTATTCTTCTGGGCCAACGGCACACCCCGGATTTGTGCAGCCCACAGTCTGTGCAGCTGATGCAGTGGACCCTCTCGGGCCACCTTGTTCCTTGGAGATACAACCTGGCTGTATGCAAACTTCTTCATCTGGGCCCACTGGCTCCCGGGTTAGCGGGAGGGACTGAAAGGAGCTGAGATGAAATGATTTATTTTTATTAGCATTCATTCCCTGTATCCAGTGGTGCAGTGCAGTACAGTTTGTTCACATGGATTTGAATCATCCATTTACTCTAGAAGAATTTGTTTTGTAATCACCATGAACCAGACAATAGGGGATACAGGAGTGCACAAGACAGACAGAGTCCTTGCTTTCTGGCATTTGCATTTGGGGGCTGGAGCAAGGGATTCCAGAGGAGAGCAGAGAGCAGACAGGGCCAGGCCACATAAAACCTCAAAGGCGAGGGCATGGGATATGCATTTCATTCGATTACAGGATGCCAATGGTGGCTCCAATCAGGGGCCGATATGACCTACTACACATTTTAAAAAGACTGCCCTGAATAGAAAGCAGGCTGTTGTAGGATGAGACTGAGCAGGAAAGTCAGTCAGAAAGCCACTGCAGGGGTCTGGTGGGAGGAAAGGTGGCCCTGAGGCTCATGGAGGGCAGGGAAGGGGTCATTTGGGACAGAATTTTTTATTTTTTCATTTATTTATTTATTTATGTATTTATTTATTTATATATATTATATTTTAAGTTCTAGGGTACATGTTCACAATGTGCAGGTTTGTTACATATTTTCCAGTTCTTCTCAATGAGTATGTATTACTGGCCGAAGGCTTGCCTGGGAGAGATGAGGAAGATGAGCTTGGGTGAGACTCCTAGTGCTGAACCCTTACTTTCTCTGTGAATGTGGGGATGTCACTTATGGTCTGGTGAAATTTTGGGAAGCTGGCACATTCCACAGCTAGCACATGGTGACTGGGCCCATGTGCCAGGTACAGCCCTGAGTGATTGTCACATATTGACCCTTTTTAATCATCATAGTAATCCTAAGAGTGAGGTACTATTATTGTCTAATAATTTGCTTAAGGTCGCCTGGCCAGGAGCCCGGGCATCCTGGCTCCTTTGGAAAATTAGTCTTATCAGTGGCCATTGTCTTCACCTCAGGTCACCAGCTTGAGGGTCTTCACTCACTTCCATTGCTGCAGGATCAGGTCTGTAATTGAGAATTCGATATGTGCTTTCCCCCCTCAAACATAGGCTTGTAATTCCCCTATGAGTTGCTAAAAGCTAAATTAACTACCCCAAATCCTGTCCCTTAAACAGGAGGTGAGCTTTGCCCTGGAGAACGCATGGGGTGGCTGGACTGCTTTGCACGGGCCCCTCTGCTGAGGAGAGGGTCTGACCCTGGAGACCCTAGTGGTATCTTTGAGCCCATTTGGAAGTTTCTGCAGGACAGAGGGCTGCCACTCACAGTGTCCCCATCCAGATGTCTCCAAGCAGTGGCTCTTTCAACTGCTAAGGAGCAGGGAGGGCTTGTGGGATCTGCTGACCATCGGCTGTGGTGATGCTACTCTGGTCAGCATCACCTGAGGGCAGAAGAAGAGAGAGTACTCAGGGGCTAGAATCTACCAAGCCCCTATCCTTTACCGTACACTGAAACTTTGTCCCTGTATGTTTTTCCATGGACCATTGGGCCAACTCTCTGTTCACAAAGGCCTATTCTTCAAAAAACAGTGAAAGTGCCAGCTCGAGCCTTGGGATGGGCAGTTCCACATATGTGTGTGCATTTGCGGTCCTCCCGTGGGCTGTCAAACAGTCTGAAGAAGGAAGATAGCATTTGAATCAGTGTTGGAGGAGAATGAGAATAAGCTAGCTGGTGCAACCTGGTGCACAGGTAAGGGAGGAAAAGGGTGAGATCCAGGCACCGCACGCTTGTGAGTTAAGAACCATAGTCTTTGCCTTACAGAAGAAGAAATGGAGGCTCCAGCTCACCCCAGCACTCGGTGGCAGAGTGAGCCATGCACCCAGCTCCCAGGATGGTGCCTCCTGCCATTTGCCCCCCTTGGCTCCCACACAGCCGTCCATTGCATTAATTGAGTGCTTCAACAGTCTTTGAAGGCTGGGTTTTGTGCTTGAATATATTGCCACATTAATAACTTCAGAACATTTCAGGCTGTGTCGAAATAGTAAATTAGGACAGGACGGGCCATATATTCAGCGCAGAGAGCTGAAGTACCATTTTATTACATGTGCCATGGAATTAAAGGCTTAATTTTCTTTTAAAAGATGGCGATGCATCATTTCCCACAGCCAGGTAAAAACAGTTAGCAGAAATGATTTATCCTTCATTCTATTTAAACATCAGAAACCAGAATCCCTGGATCTTGCTCTCCATTATTTATCTCTGCCTGGAGGGCACTTGAGACTTTTACTTGCTGTCCGACTTGATGGACACAGCCAGGTCCTGGGCGTGGTTGGGAAAGAGGGAGGCCGATGGTGGCAGCCAGTGCCTGGCTGGGGCAGAAGCCCTTGTCTTTGGGATGAGGGATGTGGCTTCCCTCACATGGGCTCCAGGAGCTGACAAGGCTGCGTTTGACCCTCAGGCTGGGCCACAGGCTGTCTCCGTGTTTGGACAAGTTCCTCACAGAGCCTGGCCTTCTCACCTACAGAATGGAATAATGGCAGAATAGAATAATGGAATAATGACCTTCTTTTGGGGCTGTTATAAGGCTCTCATGAGATTGCAGGTGGAAAGAAAGTGGGCTTGCAGTGACTCTTGCACAATTATGTGATATTTGCAGGAAGAAATCATTTTAGAACAGTTCCATTTTTTTTTTCAAAATAAAAGTAACACATTCATTGAGAAGCATTTGAGAAAAAATAACAACAAAGAAAGTAAAGAACATGGTATCATATTGCCCAGCGGTGGTCAGTGTTATTTTTTTCCTTTTTCAGCATAGTTTTTCTTTTTTTTTGAGACAGTGTCTCACTCTGCCACCCAGGCTGGCATGCAATGGCATGATCTCATGATCTCTTTTAGGTCATACATTCCAGTCCCAGTAACCTCTGCCTCCCAGGTTGAAGCAATTCTCCTGCCTCAGTCTCCCAAGCAACTGGGATTACAGGTGCCCACCACCACGCCCAGCTAATTTTTTGTATTTTTAGTAGAGACGGGATTTTGCCACATTGGGCAGGCAGGTCTCGAACTCCTGACCTCAGGTGATCCACCCACCTCAGGCTGCCAAAGTGTCAGCATATTTTTAAAAAACAAAATTAGATTCAGAGACATTTGCAATTTTATATTCTGATGTTCTGTTTTCCCACATGATACCAGAATGTGAACATTTGCCTGGTTACTAACTACAAACTGCTTCCTTGTATGACTGCATGCTATTCCTTTGTGTCAATGTGCAGATAATCTATACCTATCTCTGATGATTGGATCTTTAGGTTTTTTCTTTTATGAACACTTACAAAATCCTCCCACAAAAGTAAGAGGTACGTATTACTAGCCCATTTTGCAGATTGTTGTATTAGTTTCCTGTGGCTTCCATAACAAATTACTACAAATTAGGTGGCTCAGAACAACAGAAGTTTATTCCTCATGATTCTGGAGGCCAGAAGTCTGAACTCAAGGTTTTGGCATGACCGTGCTCCCTCTGAAGGTCCCAGGGGAGGATCCTTTCCTGACTCTTGCAGCTTGTGGTGGCTTCCTTGGCTGTGGCTGCATTACCCCAATCTCCGTCCCCATCTTCACCTGGCTTCTCCTGTCCAGGCATTTCTCTCCTCTTTGCGTGTCTCTTCTTATAACGGCACATTGCCACTCAATTTAGGGCCCTCCTGGATAATTATAATCTCCTCATTTCAAGATTCTTAGTGTAATTACATCTGCATTAGATTAGAACTTTGGTCACATTTACTGTCTCATTTAACCTCCCTAGCAGCTCAACGAAGTAGGCCTGTTATCTGCATTTCACAGATGAGAAACGAGACTGAGTAAGGTTGAGTGACTTGTCCAATGTCACACAGCTAAGGAGGGCATGGAGCTGGGATTCGAGGCTTACTAAAGCTGTCCCTTCTAGGCCTGAGCAGGTAAAAGGCTGCAACCATTCTTCTTCCTGCTAAAGCTCCTGAGTCAGAGATGGACTCCTTCAGGTAGAGGTGCTTGAAGGCCTGTAAGACTCAGGCATACACATGATATGGTCATTGATGTGAAGGAATCCAGGGCTCCTCACTGGTAGCTGGGCCAGAGGCCACTCCTGCCCTGGAGAAAGCCTTCTGCAGCTCCCAGGCCCCTGGTGCACAGGCGCCTCCCGGCACAGAGCTGTGGGAGGGGATGAGTAAACCAGCCAGTGTGCCCGGATTTCCTCTCGCCCAGCTGTGCCCAGCACCAGACGGGCTGAGGGTGGACCCTGGTCCAACTCAGTCACTCATCAGTAGGGTCCCTGTCCCCCTGCATCCCTGGCACTGTGCTTCCTGCCTGCCCTCTGTGTGATGGCCCAAGGCTGAGATATCGCCCACTAAGTCCCTCCAACCTGGCCTTGCCAAGAGAGCAGGAAACTTAGAGATGCACAGAGGCCCACTCACCATGACAGCATCCCCCCGAGACGGCAGGCTCAACTGCCCACAG